CAGAGCTTATGAGATTTGAAGTCATGAAAACAATAGTCAAGAGGCTGTCAACAATAAAAATCAATGGAGGATTAAAGGAGGTACAGAAAAACAGTATCTGTAATGTGTCTAAGTGAAACAACAAGGGTTCAATTAATTTCACCCCAATTTAGAAATCCAGTCAAGGCTCATGGGTTTTAAAACTTCACACCTGAATAATAAGGATTTCACTAAAAAACGAGGAAAAGTTGTTACATTATACACAATTACACTACCATTCCAGGTCTGGCAGAAGGACACATATGAATGAAAATCTGTTTTGAACTATTTTATATTAGTTTTGAATTTTTCAAAACTATAAGGCTTTGCAAAACAGCCACATCCCCACCCTCCTCCACATTTTCGACCAAGGTCCACAAGCAAGGATCAGACCAAAACAACAGAACCCTCCGGCATCATGGCCCTCAGCAGCAGTGAACTCCTTATAAGAGATCAAAATGCTAGGAGTGGGAACGCAAAGCATCTCAATGGAGCATCAACATTTGTTTGGCTTGCAGCGGCACCCACCAACCAAATCCGTTTCTGCTGCCGAGAGTCGCCTAGATCAGAGTTATCATTCCGCATCTAGCTGGAGGAGAGCAAGGAATAGTGGGCCTGATTTAAAAAATCGCATTATTACTTGCTGTATGGCAAGTGCTAGAACACACCCATTGTAACTTGGAGTCACATTAAATGCTGCGCGGTTTTGTTTCTGATGGTAATTTGAAATGTTTTTCTCACCCTGCTGGATTTTTTCTTTTCTTTACGCTTTTTCTAAAAAAAAAGAAAAAAAAGAATACCGGTTACTAAAGATGAGTCGCAGTAAAAGGATGAATGGGTGAAAGTACATGAGAGAACTAAAAACTTACTTCTTTCTTTTTTGAAGCGCTTTCACTTCCACCGAGCACCTTCTCTCTATTTTTTTCAAGTTCCTTTTTCCATTTCTGCAGAGGCAAAAAAAAACTAGTTTTTTTTTTACAAATAACTAATTTGTTAATAAGAGTTGATGATTTTTCTGTCAATCTTTCCATTTTCAGGGATTGCTTATTTTAAATTTAATCTGAACCAAAAAGAGATACCAAACCACAGAGATATGCAACTTGTGTTTAAACTACCACATAAAAAGCTGGAGGTTAAATGGTTTGTAACCTATGCACGCCTGCAGAATGGGTTAAGAGTCTTGATAATGAGATGTCTGTTAATCAGTTTTTAAAAGCTGAAACAGATCCATATTAGTGGGCCTAATGCAGCAGTTTTATGTCTGTTTCTACATGTTTGTAAATTTTATGAAACTGTACCTCATTCATTTTTTCTTCAAATTCAGCCAGGGCCCGTGAGCCCTTCTTTTTCTTCTCCAACTGTTCCTTGACCTCTTCCCTAAACACAGCAAGAAAAAAGCTGTTTCTACCATACCTACAGGATAGGCCACCACAGAACAAGACCATTCATCGTCCTCTTCTTGCAAGTGGGTGTTCAGTATCCACATATTCTTACTCACCCCTGACCTTTTCTGATTCTGAACTGTTTAGCTTTAGCCTGCTTTGGCAACTTTGTTCTGTGGCATCAGGTTTGTCAAAAACAAAAACAGCCGTACCACCACAAGAACTTCCTTCTAAGGTTAAGAGCAAATAAAACCGAATCATTTCTAGAACTCAAAAAAGAATCTAAAATGAGGGCATAGAGATACATACATGAGTACATATAACGCTTAAGGGAATGTTGTTATTTATAATGCTTAATCATACTGCTTCAGTAAATCTGTATTCATTGCTTATTTCTTGGCAACCAAGGTCCAGATTTCACCATTCCCTATGCAATAAGTCTCCTATTGACTAATTCACAGTCCTCACTGGTGGAGAACACTTGTACTGGTTCAACACTATGTTCAGGAAACGCCAGTGATAAAAGTGTATTTAAAATGCAAAAAGAACTTAATTCCGAAGAGGTATAAAAAAAGCCGCTAACCTCACGGCGAGTGTACCCACAGAAACTCCAGGGCACACATTTTTACGCTTTAAAATGAAATCGGATACGAGTGTTTTCTCTCGTGACGTCTCATATCAGAAACTCTCCAAGACAGCTTATCAGAGTCACAGGTCCCTCAGCTGTGGATAATACAGTTATCCCATCTAATTTCTTACAGGCATGGATTTCTCCCACTCACCACGTAGGCCTGGGTCTGTTCAGGTAATCCTGTATGGAAGGCCCTGTCGACGGAGCTGGCCCTCGAGCTCTAGCAACAGCTATAGGGTTTATATACGCCTGCAAAACACACAGGCAAAGGGCTTCAGGTTCAAGCGGCAGAAGCAGAACACAATGAGCGCACCTTCAACGTAGTGCTGGGAAACACACCGGAACACTCAAATTCACCTCTTCAGGAAGGTAACCACGCAGAAATATGAACTGTCACTGCTTGTCAGAAGTATTGATTTAACAGAAATACAAAGCGAAACAAACAAGAGTTTGGGTTGTATAGAATGAACTGCTGAAGCCGATACCCTGGCTTCTCTCCAGGAACAGCAGGATGGGGTCCTCTGACCAGCTGGCTACTAAATATCAAACGGGCCAAAAAGCGTCTGTTTTGAAACCTCTTAGTTTTGTATATTTCTCATTAAAAAGTAGAAAGTAAATAAGGAAACCACATAAAGAGGTTCCACAGCCAAACTGCTGATTTTTTATTTCTTTCTGCTTCTCAGCATAACCTATTTTTCAGTTCCTTTTAGATGCATCTCCATCCCCTTAATACTCATTAAAAATCAACAAGGCGTGCAAGACAAAAACACTAATTACTCACATCAAGGTAGGTTCCTTCAACTCTGTAACCGGTTTCAAAGAATTTAATATTAAAACAGAAGTGGGCTCTGGAAAGACTAATTTCCATGATAAAGTTACCTGTTCGTGTATGAATGAGACATTTTAAATGTAGTGACAGAATATATTAAATTCACCACACTGGACACTGTTAATATACATAAACTATAAGTAAAACCAGCTATGGTTTCCGTGTGTAGAATGGAGGTTACTATTTAAACTTGCTTCCCAGATTTAACAAAATACCGATTACCTACAAAACGATTGTTTATATTAGCTTTCCCTGAAAATAACTGGAAACGGCAATACTGCTCCGGAATTCATCTCCCTTTTCCATTCTGATGTAACATTTCGGTATATACTAGGGTCTACACTCTGATACAACTCAAGTGCATTTATACGTAAAAAGAAACCTTCAAAAAAAATGTTAAGGGGCACCTATTCAAATTGAGTTTTTATAGGGCTATGTGGTAATACGTCAACAGATGCTCTACTTCTTGGATTTTTTGCATGTCGCATATCGCAACCAGAGTTCATACTCTTGCTAAAATTTGTGCCGATTACTACAAAAACGTGATTTTGACATTTTAACGCGCAGCAACATTGTACTGCAGAAGTGTGAACGTGGACTCAACCTGGAGGCCTGGGGTGCAAAGATTGCCCGTCAGCGCTTAAAACGGGATCTGTAAATTGTGTGTGGCAGCCACTTTTATTATCGTTATCACTATACTGCTTCTTTCGCGGAGACTAGTAAATAGGGCTAACATTACAGAGGTTGAGAACAAACTAGCGGAGTGAGCTGTTTAATCGGGCAAAAACAAACTTTTCCCGTTACGCCTGCTTTGTACGACATAAGACTTTTTTAAAAAATAAAATACTGTGAAAGGGCAGACCGAGTGAGACTTCGATTCTTATTGATCATGTTTTATTCCCCCTAGTATGGGTGCAGAAGAAACAACACTTCTATTGCGTCTGTTCAAATTTTACTTAAAGCTTGTACGCCTGTTTTTTTTTTCTTCTAATTTACCCCTTATATTAAATTGCATTTAACGTGAGGGGCAGGCGTAGATATGCCATCAATTACAGTTTAAAACTGATAGTCAAGCCTAGGCCCCAAATCCCCGGCCTCGCCTGCTTTGCATTACCTCCGGTCAGCGCCCCTGCGCCCGGCTGAGACTCCAACCATCGAGGGTATACCCCATTATCAAATGCAAATATAAACCTTCGTAGCATACAAACATTCCTCAACTACTGCATCATTGGTCGTTACTACTTACCACCCTGTTGTCTCTTTTCCCCATTTTTGATGCTTCCCTCTAAAAAGCCTGGATTTTATACGGCTAATCGTTCACATTGCTTCCCCAGCGATGTGGCCTACAGCCCGTCGAGCCCAACTTGAGCCATCCGGAGAGAACAAAAGAAGGATACTGCCACCTGATGGTCACACTGCCAACTGCAGCTTAGGTCTGCAAAGCATGAGGTGAAGTTAAATCCTACACAAAGCAAGATCGAAAACACGGCAATGACCACTTGCATTTTTTCATCACATTCATCCTAACCTAACAGATCCCAGGGCGTCTAACATGACAGCCCTGACGCTGCAGCAGGCCAAAACACAGCAGATGAGGTTGGGAAGCTTGATAAAATAATGTTTTGTTTTGCTAAGTGCCATGAGAACACGTAATATGCACTTCTATGGTAAATACTGTCATAAAACATAGATTCATACACTAGCTGGTATTGGGATTCATGTTGGAAATGTTTTTACTTTTGATTATTGCCTTTCTTTTTGAGAAGATGTGTCATGAAATGCACATCATTTAAAATCTACATTAAATATTATTATCTATAATGACGAAGCATCGAGGACGTTGTTTCTAATGTCTCATCTGAGGGACAGCATCTCCTGCAGGACGGTGTGTCCTCTCATTATATTGGGGCATTAGTTTAGAAATTCTCGTCCTGAGCAAAAAGCACCACCTACTGGTCATTCAACACCAATCTACAGCAACTTAATTGTCCTACAAGGCTCTCCTTTCCCAGCCTTGCTGAGATCCTGAGATCTGACGAAATCAAGCTACAAAGTATTCATTCTGTTCTTTCTAAACAAAATATAAAGGTATTTTTAACACGATTTATACGACTCTGCAGGTGGTACTGGTAATAATTCTATATTTCATTATGACGTGTCAGTAATGTTCTAGAACAGATCGTAATCAACATAATCAACAAAAAGTGGAAAGGTTACCAATGAGATTAGACCGTCTGATTGCTAGTAGGTATTTGAGCCGAGGAATTTATCTAGCTGTTTCTTGAAAGACGCCAGGGTAGCAGCGTCTTCAACACTTTGGCTGATTAGCTTTTTGAACACTCCCACAGCCCTGTGTGTAAAGAAGTGTCTGTGTGTGTGCATCCTTTCCACCTGTGTCCTCCATTTCGCGTTTCACTGTTCATTCCAAAGACGTCTACTGAGTCAACATTATCCATGCCAGATCACCCGTTTACTTTGTTGAAAATATTTTATTTATACACTAAATTATTTTCCACCACTCAATTCATCAATGCACATAAAAGAAAAAAAAAACTTTGATGTAATTTTAGTGAAATGTAGTGGCAAAAGATGTATTTCTTTTTAACCCTCTTGCTAGTCTAGCTTCACGTCACTCATTTTAAACATAATTTTAAGAATGATGACACCTGAAGAAGGCTCCACGGCCAAAATGTTGTGTTTTTTCTCTCTTCTTTTTTTCAGCATGGAATAAACCTATTACTTGATCATTTTAAGAATATTACTGAACAGCATTTCAAAATGTGTTTAAACCAGAGTTAGACTAAAGTCATATGAATAAGTTATATAAATTTATGTTCCAGATGAATGAATGTTTGCACAGAACTAGGTTTTCCAGAGGAGCAAGGGAGAAGATTTGTTAATATACACAGAAGTGAGAATCACTTTTTTCCATTACTTAGAAATGACTAGGGGACGTGAATAACCTTTGCATGCTGAGAAATGCACATATATTGTGTTATAATTGAGCACAAGAGCTCCTAGGCTGCTCTGAATCTCTTAGCCATTTGAAAGCTGGTAATTCATAAAGGGCCAACTTGAAGCTCAATGCCAGGTGCACAGAGTGAATTCTCCTTGAATCAATGGGAATAGAGTACAGAGTATGAAATCATTTCCCCAAAGAAGTAAGTCATCCTCTTCTGTGACTCCCAGTAAGGCCCCGTCCAACTGCCTCAGAACTGACAACAGCTTCTTGAGATGCCAAACAGTATGAAAAGGGGCCGGCACAACATTTGGAGAATAAATACAAAGATGTCTGAGGTCAATGACAAATTGCAAAGGTAATAAGGTTTAAGAAGACAAGTAATGGACGACCAGGGAGAGAGCTGTCCGATACTTCCCAGAATTCAGTGTTCACATTCCAAGCTCAGTGGTCAATGTTAACATAGCAGGTACTCACAGGCGCAGAAGACTGTCTCGTTTCTGCAAACCGTGGATTGTGTTGGATTTATTGTAAGATCATGCTTGGCGGGGGTGTAGGGTAGCGTCTGAGATGAAACTTTGTCCTATATCTGCGGAAGTTTGGAGTTCAGTGCACTTTAGTTGACTTAACACTGCAGAAGCCAGGATGATCTCTGGCCCAGTGAGTCACTGGGGCTCTACGACTTACCTTTTAGCTACTGTTGGATCAAAGTCTTTTTGCCCTTCTTTGTAAATCAGCTCTTACCCACAGAGTGCTCAGAAATGTTCACAGTACAATAAAATTAAACGTGCAAGGATTTATTACACACTCTAATTTTTATTTTACAAAAATAAAAATGTCAAGCAATTGGAGCTACCTCTTACAAGCACAACATTAAGCAGCTTTTGTCAATGGAAGAATCTTTTACCAGCCCTTGTTTTTTGATTAGCTAAGTCTCACAAGGTATGGACCAGAGCACAGTACAGAATTAGCAGCAAACCAGTTTTGAAAACTAATAAAAAGAACATTTTCTTTCCACGCAAAAAAAAAAGCAAAAATGCCTCCGGCCACAAAATGTGAAAACATTTTAAAAAAACTAAAAATGAATAAAATTTTCTTCACAGATTACAAGTTAAATTCTAAGCAATATGGTACAAACATTCAAGGAGTGATTTGGCAGGAATCAAAAAATAAAGCTAAAAATAAAATTGGGTAAAAAGTATTTTACACATTAAAGAAAAACTTAATATATATAATAGTTACTAAGAATCTTTTAATTCCAGGCATGTGTGTGTTGTTTAAACAAAGATCAAAGAAAATGTAAATTTTAAGAACATGCAGTTTTACCTACAGTATTACAGTAAATAACCTTTTGACAGGTTTCCATTACAAAACGGTTTCCATAAAAAAAGGACTTTAACATAATTATGAATAACAATAAGAACACTTTAATTTATTAAGTGGGCAATCTTTCTAAAGTGAAAGAGATTACTTTGTTTACACGGTGATTCAGATCTCGATTGACACAGTAATGCAAATAGTATAATTTGTGTTAAAATTATACTATTTGTAATACTGCGCTATTATATAATTATACAGTACATAAAGTATAATGATATAAACCGCCGTATAATGGGATAAATTGCGGTGATCCTTGAGAAAGCGAAACGCTCATCTTATTTCTGTATCACAGATCATAATCCAAAATAAAAAAAACCTACAAATGTCCTTAAAATGTTATATTCTGCCTTTAAAGACATTTAAAAAAAAATCCTTTGCTGGAATGACCAGCTGGCTTTCTGATCCATTACCAGAATTAATAACGTGTCTCACGTAAAACGTAAAAGACGTCATATTTTACACGTCTCGAGAGATACAGACGTATCTGTGTACAGCAGAGTAAATAGTTTACACCAATCAAGCTTTCTGTTTTCTGAAAAACACCAACGAAAATATATACTGTATCTGTAACTGTAAAATGTACTGTATACTGCATACGGTGCAACAAGAATCATATGACACCGTTCAATTTAACGTTCACTTAAAATGCTAATCATAAAATCGCTTTTAAAGCTTTTTAACTCTAACCTTTATTGTTTCAAAATTGTTTTAAACAAGTTTGTAAACATTTAATTTGGTAATGATCCAAAAGATATATTTTTTTGTTGTTGTATAAAAACGTACATGAGCATTCTCAAACTTTCCAAAGATTGTTAATCCTCCCGATTACATTTCTCTTGAAATGCTGTATGCCTTCCAGTTCACATGGAAGAAAAAGCTCCGATTCAATATCAGAGCCGTCATACTCGACGAGATATGTGTGGCACCTACGTAGCAGTTTACCTGCCTCTTACTAATCAGATAATAGGAACACCATCAATAACTCCAAAGTATAGTATATCCACTATCGCAATGAAACCAGACCCAACAAAAAAAGTGTATACACTTTTATTTAGAAATCAGCAAAATATTACATTTTTGGATCCACTGCTAAGATAAATCAAGATCAGTAAATAACCTCTAAAAAGCTTAACACAAAATGTGTTTTGGGCATAAACGATATGTCTGTCCATTGTACGCCAAAATTCAATTTCAGTGACAAAAACTGCACATAGTAACAGTTTTACAAGTGAAGCATAAATACAGCCAGCATACAATAATCCAGCTATCCCAGAAGCGATCCAGGTTTTAAATTCAACACTGAATCTGATTGTGAGATCTAGAAATAGTTTTAGCAATGCGTGTCATTTAACTGGATACTGTAGAATCACCAGGCGCCAAGATAAAATATTTCCCGAAAAAGCCAAATATGCTGTATATTGTACATGTGTATTCTGTATCCCATTTGTTTAAGTCTCAAATTTATGTGAAACAAATACTGAATGATTTCCATAAAAATGTTAATTAAATAATCATAGAATCTATCTAGTTTCCAGAGAGCCCCCCCTCCCTACACATGGTATTTACTGAAACTAAGTACTGTAATAACTTCTGTCTCAAGAACAGTATACGATGCAATGTGCGATGGTTTAAAATCTGTGCTCTTCCGTGAGTGAAATAAATTGGGTGAGCTTTTTGAAAAATTCAGAACTGTTTTATTTTTTCTCTTGTGCAGCAAAGGGAGTTCTGTGCAGCATTGTCAGTGAAACTGTACACCTGCTGTGCAATGAACAGCATATGCCACGTTTTAGCACCACATCCTGACATCACTGTTTTGGGAATAACAGCTTCAAGTTTACAGTATATGTATACAGTAAAACAGACACCACTGGGCTCCAGCACCAATATAATCTCACCGTACCCTAAAGGGATAAGACCTCCCTTTCTGATTTTCCGTGAATATTTGATAGCACCAGGCATTTTTACATTTCTGGGGGTAACCGCCGTTATATACACAAATCGCTACGCTTAGTGCAATTTGGGGGTCGAGAAGCATTCTCAGTTCTTTAAGAAAAATGTACTAAAATCTTTTACAGTTCAAGAAAACCTATTATTTCCTCAACTAAGCACTTGTCAAGATAATTATAGCTGGAGCAACATTACAAACCCGTCATGCCTGCACTACGCTTCAGTCTAGAATTTAGGTAATCCAGAATTACGCCATCTTATTTTATTATTTGGATTTCTTGTTCTGATATGGCTAACGAAACAGAAAAACACAGGAAGCTTAAGTGAATAAATAATCACGCACTACAAAGACACGTAAACGTAAGAAAGCCGAACTCCAAACACACAACATCATGCGAGTCCAATATCTACATGAGCAAACGTTTTCGATAAATGTTATATTCAGAGATCAAAAGCACAGAAGCTGCACAATTTTAATTTAACCTTTTCACCAAGATATGACTAATGGTCCTAATAATTTGTGCATTTGGCAAATTTACATTCTAAACACAATTCTGAATTGAAAACACTGAATTGAAAACTTCTTCTTAAAAGTAATTAATTACATATCACACGATCTGAAAGGTTACACATCAGAAGCACAATTATGATGTGAAACAGACTACAGGTACTGTAACTATCTTGTGGCCCCTATAGTTAAACATGTGAAATTAGCACGTTTGTAATAAAATAACTGGTTTTCTTAAAGGGTAAAAATAAAATCTGTTAACACATTTAACATTATTTGCTACAAAGCAAAAAACTTGAAAATCCTTTAATCTGCAAACCTTTGTTTTGTGGGCTCAGGTTTTGAGCTGCTTCACAATTAAAGGTGCCAAGTATATTTGACAGTATATCTATGCTTTGAACTGCAATTAGAAACATTAAAACACAGATTACTAAACTCGTTCATTTATTTTGCTATAGAAAATTACAATTCCATTAAAAATGATATTAAAATTGATAATAGCTGGGCTAAAGATAATCATAGAGTGTGAGAGTATTTGGTATAATATAAGCAATGCTGGAACAGAAACATTCAGTAATGAAACATGAAGTACTGGTTAAATGGGGTTTTGGTAATTTTCTATTGTTAAAATTCAAAGAAATTAGTTGCAATAAATATGGTAACTAAGTCAATTCTGTACACTTGGAGGAAAACTGGTTCTACCACCTACAATAAAAATACTTTTGAGATATGAAAATATTCTGTGTTTTAACATTCATAAGTGAATACGTTGTATTCATGAGTATACAAACAACGCAAAATTCCTTATTTCTGCTCTGTAATGAGGATTAATGTATACTAAAAATCCATCATAGATAGCCTTTGTTAAATGTAGAACAAAATCCCACAACAATAACAGAAAATAACAGGTTGTAATTACAGTGATTCTATACAAATCGTTCCAGGAAAAAGAAAACAGTGAAAATAAGGGGTTCATCCTCTGTCGTAAATACAGCAATCATTTCAAGTGTTATTGAAGGTCATTCTAAACTCAGAATGGCGCGGTATGTACAATCACACTCACTAGCTTAAGAAAGCTTAGGATTTGTTACTCACATACTGTTCATATAATCCATACAGTATATTAATACTTAATTCAGTCCTATGAGAAAGAAAAAAAAATTGAAAGATTTTGCTTGTCTTTTTCAGTTAAGACTATCCACGAGAAGGGGTGTTTAATTAGAAATTGTTCATTGCTTTACTGATGCAATGGTACAAGTGAAGTATTTATCTTAACATAAGATTAACATTTTCTTACTACAACGTTTAGGCTCTTAAACTCCTCCAGGCATGAGGGAGAGGTTGTAAGATGGCAGGGATAAAAAGCACATGAGAACAAAGGACAGAGCAGGTGAGAATGGGCACACAGGTGAGACAGAGTGTCCACCTGTTGGAGGGAGATCTGGGCAAACTGAAGCTTGAAGAGCCGAAGCGTTGTTTTTCAGAATGGAAAGGAGTGATACTTGTTTCTTGCAGGCAGCACCTGATGATACAGCTCCTCACTTGAACATCTTTTTTTGCAGTTGCCCAACCAGTGGAGAACCCTGAGGAGGCATGAGTGGAGCAGCCGCAAACTGGAGAGGGGGAGAAGGCAGTGGGGTGTGTGGTGGCACACTTGAGTGCAGACTGAGCTCTCCGATCACGGGTCCGAGCCTGGGTCATATCACTACCTCGCTAACTCTGCGCTGCACCGCGCGGTCAGGGAAGGTAACTTGTTACAAGACGAGGAACTCGAAGGTAGGTATCCTTCCACATTCCTCATACTCCCTCAGAGGTAAAAAACCCCACCATTAGCTATTCCAGATCAGGTGAGTACAACAATAATTGGTGATGGAAGTTTATATAAAACAATAAATGTGCAGCAGGATTTGGTTGCTTGGACTGCCTCTTAATATCCATGGGCTATCATTTCTTTGGATGCCTTTGTTAATTAACCATGAATTGAGTGCAGGTTTCTTCTTGTGGTGTGATGACGCATAGTAGAAGTTTAAGTAAGTGGTACCTGTACATTTCACTGTGCAGCCCTATGCTGTAGGTCACAGGTGTAAAAGAGCCGTTTGCCTAAACCCCTGCCTGCCTTGCTAGATTTGGTCAAAATTATTTTCACAACTCTGCCTACAAAAGAATCTCAACACAATTCCCACCAGTTCAAGACAAAACAGGATTACACTAACAGCAGAATCACCTTACTATGCATTAGGCCACGGTGTCTGTGCTGGATGTCTTGATACTGCACTCTGAGGCTTAATAAGACGTGGTTTAGCCAGTGGGAGACAAGCTCACCTAGATGTGCCCTTAGTTTTACATTTGTACTCGATTAGTGAGATATTCAGAATATTTTTTTTTACTGATTACTGAGTCTACTCACATTTTATAAAAGCAAAATAAAAGTCTTTTCAAGTTACAGCTAGCTTTCCACCTCACCACCCATTTGAAGTTTTACACAGCTTAGTATCATTATTGAGCCTTTTCAAATGTACAGTCTATGTTTCTAACACACACTCTTCTGCATTCACACTCTGGAAAAATGTATTTATATAACTAGAGCTCTACATTTTCTAAATGTTAAAACGTGTATAAATAATATGAATACACCTTTACTGGCACAGTCAACCTGCTTTAAAAACAAATGCATTATTACTATAGATACTTGAGCTCACTAATGTCCAGCAACCTGAAAATATGAATATTGATACTTCATACAAAACCGAATGTGCAAAGTGAGTGTCAGACTTTACTCTTTCTAAACTGAACCTGAGTACTTACACATCAATACATGGAAATGTCCCTAATTGTATTTCAGATTAAACAGAGACCAGAATTCTTTTTCAACTATCCAAAACCTTTTTTGAGCTCAAGGAAATTCTTATGTCTCATTAGTGCATTGTCTCCACAGAAAAATACTCCTTTGTTGTGTTCTAAAGTTTCTAAAACTGTCCAACATATGATATGTCATCCTCCAACTTTGATACAGATGCAAGAGAAAAAAAATATTTTTGACTTTTACATTCTTTGATTTCATTGCTACATCAGACTGAAGCAGTACTACCACTTACCTTTTCCTTGCAATTTTACCACAATAACAACACAAACATAATATTTATAGAAGCTGTTATCTTTAAGAACTACGATTATGGTGCTTGAAAACAGAAGCAAAAGTAGTATGTAGTCCCAATGTAGTAACGTCTTTATTTTCTGAGTGATTTAATAAATGGTTTTATGTTTTTTTTTTTAATGCAGGCTTTATCACATTTACACAAAATATAATTATATCCAGTATGTCTTCCACTGTTCAGCACCTTCAACAATAAAGGATATTTGCTTTGCAATTCTCTGTCAGATCCAGGTTCTTTGCATATGACTGCACCAATTAGTCAAATTATTAACATACTGACAGTGTCTAAAAGTGAGCTTTAAATGAGCCAAAATTTGATCATTAATACATTTATTTTGGATATGTGGCATGATGAATCCAGAAGTTTTGTAAGGAGAAACTGAAACCCTCTGAATTTACTAGAGACCTAGCTGTTTGGACAACAGTTCATAACATGTTACTGAATTAAAAAGTTCTAAAGTATATCGTAATTACAGTGGTAGAAACAGACATGACTTTAGATACAACAACATGCTTTCAACAAGTCTAACAATCTTATGTTTGCATGTCCAGACAAAGTTAAATTGGATCTAAGCACTATGCACTGTATTGCCTCTAATAACACTAGCAAGTTTTTAAAGCAAAATTTCCAAATCTTTTGCTAAGTAAAGGTAGATTAAAGACGATTTATTTTAAAGCCGTATTTTTAAAATTGTTTTTAAATATTAAATTTGCATTTAGAAAAACTCAAAGTATGCAAAGTAGAAAAATAAGGAAAGGTCACTGTATCGTTTACTGTACTGTCTTCAGATTCTGATGTCTGAACATGGGAGTGTATGTGAAATAACCTCATCACAATCAAGTTTTTCACAAAAAGCTTTAAACAGTTTTTACCTTTGAGTCACATCGACATTTTTCTAAATTGTTTCAATGCTGTGTTAGAATTACTATGATAATGATAAACAAGCAGCTCATATGGCCCCTAGGGTCCGTTTTCTTGTGACACTAAGAGTGAAAAAGTTATTGTTGGGAAAATGGTTCTGTGTGGTAAATATCAAGTATACTTAGATTCACACTGTATATTTGGCATGAGGAGTTTTACTTGTTTTTGGAACATCTGTTCATGCTGGCTGATATTTCCGTCGAGTACATAAAAGCATATGAATTTCAGAAGCGTTTGGAGTTTTAAAAACTCCTTGGCTTACTGAGATATTCTGACGTCTCTACCACGGCTCAAATGGACAGGGCATTTGTTTGAGCCAAAGTGATCTGGCCAAAGAAGGAATCTAAAGCTTCCTTAAATTTCACAACGTACTCTGCATGCAAACATGCATCTAAAAGGCGAACTGCATCCAATATTCAGGATTCTGTCTTCTACTACACGTCTTGCCACTTCACCATTTCATTTTGTCAACACATCTCTCTTAGTGACCCCAAGAGCGAGGGGGTACCCTACTCTACCACCCCTTCACACCTTATTCACCTGCACTAACACTATAGCTAATACAGCAACAGGTCTTGTCCACTACAGCCCAGTAAATCGCTGTCACTTCTACTGGTTCACAAACGTCTACACAGATGCAAGCACGGGATCACCTACGTCTTCATAAATCACAGTGTCACCTCCACACTGGTCGTATCACGACCAGACACGAAGGCAATTGCTAACATAATCGAGAATAAAAACAAACATCCTTCAGAAACACAATGCAACACAATACAACAACATGCATAAAACCCACATAGCAAAATTTCACACAGACACACCAGAACCACTGATACTGAGCTGGATCTACAGAAAGTCCTTGTCAGCTCTCTGTTCCGTAATGGAGTTTTCTTCATTTTCATTCTTCTCTCTATCTGGAGTCCAGCTCTTAGCTTTCAGCTGGAATTATGTATTATTGTGAACCGTTACAAATAATTACATGTCTTTAGTATAATTTGCACAAATGGTTGTAAGGATTATGCATGTTGTTTTATCATATTGTGTAGTGTTTATGATGAAGTTATGACCGTGCCTCTTAAATTTATTTAAGTCAAGCAGTCTCTGGATTTCCTAGGTTACTGAAGAAAAGGTCTAAGTTTACAGGCGACTAAAATATGTGTGATATGTGATATTAATTATTTTTCGAGCTTGAATTAGCCACAGAAACAGCATATGACTTCAAAAAAGAGGAAGTGGTACATACTGTACACATTTTTATCATAAAAGACCTACCCTTCAAGAAAATTTGCTTTTAATAAAGAAAAAACCTTTCCAAATGATGTTATTTTCTCAGATTCAAAAAAGTCAAAAGTGAACAATCTAGAAACAAACTGATTATTTTCAATACTTCAATATGTTTGAATTATTTGTAATTATTTTCAAATTGATTATTTTCAATTTGTCCCTGTTTCTACTATCACCCTCACCTGTTTCATTCAAAATAAAAACCTGACGACAGTTTGCATGGTGTGTAAGTTAATTGAAAAGTTGAATTCTAGGCACACAAACATACACCTCAGTTTTGCAGCTTCAACATCTTCAAAAACTAAAGTAAATACAGAAGAATTGAATAATACTACTTTTACTGCTAACTCTACATTCTGAAAATACACAGAGGCCCATATGCCACTAATATTTTTAATTGATTTTAAATATTTTCAGCAGAAATAATAGCTTTTATAGAACTATTTTATATAAAATGATATGTATTATATTGTATCGTTAATCACTGAACTGAAAAACTTAAGTTACTAGTCCTTTTTACCAACAAGTCGTTTTGAAAGTAACCCATTCTGTAAAATATATTACTTCAGAAATCTGTAAAATAATTTGTATTAGACTGTGCTAAGTGAAAGAAACAGAAATGTTTAAAAAATGTAGTAGTAAAGAGTCCCAGAAAATATGCAAAGTTGTTTAACATACAAAATACCTGAAGATCATACTATAACCTGTCAGGTTCACACTTAATGTGAAATACAAACGTATCTGAAATCAAATTCCAAACGTTTTTGTGAAAGCACTCCTTTAAGAAATGGAAACGTCTTCTTGCACTGGTGTACATCAGCCACAAGATGGCAGGCCTGTTACTTTTTAGTATTTTAATTCCCCGTTTTATCTACAAGTTAACACTCTCTGTGGACAGTTAAAATAAAATCCAAAGTCTAAATAAAATTCCCAGAGATACACACCGAGACAGACATTCAACAGCACGCACAGCTAGTAAGGACAGGAGTTGAGGAAGGCCGGAGCAGCTCTGAAAGAACAGGCAGTGAGCAGTGACTGGGTCTGCTGCTCATCGCAGGGGTTGGCAGCACTTTTCATGTCGACAAAACGACAGCAGGTGAAGGACGCAGCGGTCTGGATCTCCAGAGTTTTCCCAGGCACAACCCGATCGGCTAGGGTCCTTGCATTGTTTGAACAAAATTTAAAAAAACAACAATCACAAAAAAACAAGACACTCGTTTCTCTCTTGAACGTTACTCTCAAAGCAGCATAAGGTCTTACGGAGGAATTGTGTTCTTTTTTCTTCTAAATACATCGGCAATACCGGTAATATGCTGACCGGGAGGAGGGGGGGGGGGGCAGTCGGCCTTGGAAACGACGACCTCCGGAAAGCCAGGACCTCCACCTTGAGGCCTGGAGTCGGAGCGTGTCCACAGCGCGCTCAGGCTGCTCTCTCCTCCGAGGAAGACTGGCTGGAGGGTGTCTGGGAGTGCACACTCTTACTGCTGCTCTCCAGGTCCTGAAAGTACGGGTGTGACAAAGCAGCGTAGGCCGATGTCCTTTTGGAAGGACTGAATGTCAGAAATTGCTGTTCGGAGAAAAAAAAAAGATGAGGGGGAGGGGAAGGTTAAATACATTTAATAATTTAACTTATGCAACTGTGTTCATATTGGTCTCTTCTGACTACACTGAGTGCTCAGCTATTTTTTTCTGCCTTATTTTGTTGTCTCCGACTACCCCTACGTTGGCTTTTAAGTGAGTCTTTTGGAAGCACAGGTGCTCAGTGAGCTAAAAAGCGTGGGACATGCATATAGTGCACATTAATGACATCGGTGCAACTTTGTACTGTGTGGGGTATAATTAGTTATGATAATTAACCCCCTTCACATGGTAAAAGGGGCAATTTTGTAAAATTCAAAAGTGGGTCTAATTTGAAAAAAGATGACCAAAAGCGAACTTTAAAATGTCTTCTGACAGAAGTGCTGTCTTTCTGGATCTGTTGAAGGTATGTACAGTGAATCTAACTGTTTGCTTTTTCAGGGTCATCATTTCATTTCCTGTGCCTTGATTTGCATGGCTTTGTTAACTGCAGAATTGAATGCAGAAGCTCACCGTTTTATTTTTGGAACTTCTGATCTGTTTTCAGATCCAAATGCCCACGGATGTGTCCATATGCCCGTTAACTTTCTGAATGTGTCCTAGTCGTGCGGAGTATATTGGACAGATCTCCTGCTTTCTCTACAGCAAGGATCAGCAGTCTAATTAAGACAGCACTACATCCTCATAAAGGGCCTGCAGAAAGTTCTCTTAGTCATTCCAGCAATCAACAGAAATCAATAAAAAACGCAAGAAGAAGCCACCTTTAAACAAAAAAAAGGAAGGCAGAGAAGATGCAGAAGAAAAGAAATGGCACACTTACGAGCAACAGGGATTTCCCTAGCTCGTCGATGTCTGGGACAAAATCCCCAATGGGCTGCGCTGGCCTCTGGGGGAAGGCAGTTCTCGGCAGGGCCACTTCACTGGGCCAGTCCTCCTCACTGGGAACCCCAGTGACGCTGCACAGAGACCACACAGCATCAATAGAGGCGTATCTGTCCCTGCAATCTCGCCAGGGCTTCGCCACTCCTACTCTCAAGCTGAGGCGGAACAAGGGCTCAGCTCTCATCTCGGGAAATGCTCAAAGAAACCGAGAGGCAGATTCTAAAACTAAAAAATAATCGTGTTTATTTTTTAGATCTCAGGTTTATCTTTCCCGTCGGAATTTCAAGCACAACAAAATGATGCAATGAAATCTGATAAGATCATTATTGCCCAGTAAAATCTGAATTAATACCACTGAAAGGTTACGTTCCTTTTTCACTGCAGCGCCTACATTGTGTAACTGCAGACATGGCATTGACAAGATAGACCAGACCGCCTTTTTTTTTAAAATGTGGAATTGACAACTATTTTCATTTCATGCCACCCATTTTGAGATGCCCTTTTGTCAAGAGGCTCTTCTGACTAATGCTAGAAAAGGCTCTGCACACTTCGCTCCAGAAGCCTAAACTTGCCAGAGTCATCTGCCATTTTTTCACGCCGTGAGACTTGAGTCTCACAGTGCCTGCAGTAGAGGGTGCATTAAGAACAGCACTCCAAGCTCTCAAGCACCTGTCACGCTAGTGGGAAACTCAGGGTAACTTCAGGCCCTCCCAGAACAGCTTACTCAGCCAGTGCACCGCAGACTGGGGAATGACATATCCCAGACTTGAACCAGTCATGTCTGGACTGTGGGACTCCAGCAGTGCTCTAAACCAGCACCTTCGCAATTTCAAGTTATCTTTGGAGGTCTGCTTTTGTGGGGGTTAGATATTTGTTTTAGCCAGACGTTTTCGCTGTGCTTAAAGATTCTATACTTAAAGGTACTTACTCAAAAATCTTCCCTAACTGGTCAACATCAGAATTTCCCCGGAAAAGAGGCCTGGAAAAAAACAAATGACATTAATGCATTTTATAATTTAAACTCAAATTATTATCCTGTACTTCTGCACCATAAAATACACTACACCTTATGTCTACACACATTGGTTATATGAAGAATACTTCTGTTTAATTATGTTTTCAATTTATTACAAACCAAACATAATGACCTTACCAACGCTATGTAATAAATACACTGTCTTTATAATATATATAATAACATTGGATATTACATCATTACTAATAATCAAACTAATAAATACTTATTTATAGTATAATATTGTATGTAAAAAGTTTTTCTTTTTAAGATAGTGGCTTGCAAACATAAAATACCCAATTAAATACAGAAACATTGCACAAAACTACATTCAACCAGTAACCAGGTGACATTCTAGAGCTTTAGAGCACTTGTATTTCAGAATATCCTGTGGACTTCAAACAAAGAAGCTGAGAAGTGAGGATGGACTATTGCGGGCATCATCTGTGTTGCATGGGGAAATAAGTGCTAATATTGTGACCAATCTTGTGGTGCTCAGTTTTAGAGTTATGTAGCAACTAACTCTGGGAACTGTGTTCCTCCAATGTTTTGTCTGTATGATTCGCATATTTGACTGTTCACACCAGGAAACACATTGCATCTCCTTTTTCAGTTAAAAGTGCTTAGGAATATATTATTTGCTTTCTGGCCAACAAATGTGAATGCATAGTCTGCTTGTTGCTGAAATGCAATGGATGATAAAGCCCATGTCTAAGAGTACTGAAGTACCTCTAATAATGAAATATTACTGTTTGAGATTACAATTCTTTGGTTAATTTCATACAGTACCTGGGTTTCATAACTGCAACATTTAGCATTGCATCTCTCTGGAGAAGCACAAAACAATCAAACATTCTGGATGCAAAAATATCTCAAGAGAGACCAGAGCTTGATGTCAGTAATAAAGAAGGGATTTAGGTTAAACTGAAAAGCTTGTGTACTACAAATTGTTCACACTAAGCGCTATAACAGAACAGATTGAAAAAAAAAAGATGATATTAAAATTGTCCAACAGAAACAAACACACTCAAACATAAGAACAAAGTTAAAGCAAGGCATAACTCCACATGCAACAACTTTAAAAACTTTAACAATAGATGGGTAGAAGAAAAAGATGTAGTCATAAATACTATTTAACTTTTAGTATAACTACCAAAAATATATTGCTGATTTTCTTGTAATTCACTAATGCTTTTCAAGAAATCAGTTCATGACTTGCCTCACATGAGCATATGGATTGGATAAAGGTTGTGGAATTATCATCTTTCAGCATGAGAAGCAGCAAAATACTTCAATAATGTCAGCCTTCATAGTGCCCCTATTCACTCCTTGCCCAGAAACTACCCAATAACAACAGGGAACCGCAACAGGTGGTCTTGCTCACAGATAGTTAGTTTTATTGTCCTTTCCAAAAGAAGAACCGAGTTATAAAGCTTATGGAATTAAATAGGACAGCATCTTCATTCAGTCTTTAAAGTACTGTACCTACTAAATGTTCAGATTCTGTGTTTTGTGCTGTCCCCACATCAGTGGATGGAGTAGCATATGACCTCAAAGAAAAGTGTCATTCTGTAACTGGACAAGACACTGGAGCAAACTGCGTCTGCACTGTATAATTAATTAGAAACACCAGGAAAACTGATGTTATTCTTCAAGAATATTCATCACATGTCACTTTAACAGACCTACAACGTCTGTAAAATGTATGTGGTTAAAAATGACTGCACTCAATTTAGACCAGTCTAACCAAGCAATCTACATACTTACGTAATAATTCCTGCACTACTGTAAACTGTTTAGTTTCTGGCTGACTTGGAGAATTGAAAGCCTTTTAACAAATATGCAGCACCAAATGTTAAAGTCCAAGAGCCTGAGTCCTGGTGGCTCCTGTGGGTTTGGACAGCTGCTAAAGTCTCTAAAGAATATATTTCCAAATGTTCATCAGCAGTCAAGTTTCAAAACAAGTTCTTGCTGTGTTTTTTTTTAAATCATCAAATGCAAAAAAAATCACTTTCATTTTTCTGTTTCAGCTTGTTTCCAGGCCTTCCACTTTCGGGACATCATTGTTTTCGTTAGTTATGATATTTGTCGTGGGGCTGCTCAGCCAAGCAATTTGGGAGCCGTCCAGGAAATGTCAATTCAGAACTGCAGCAGAAAGTTTGTATTGTTTCCACTGATATGTAGGCAGACAAAAACAGAGGAAGATCTAGACTATACACAGCAACACAGTTTGCAATTACATAGGACAGGAAGGGAAACCGTACCTTGGACCCTGATGATACACTGGTTTTACACAGTTTTTATCATACACTTCTAAATCGATATACATGTTTCCATTCTGATTTAATTCTCTCAGACCATGCAATGTGCAGAAATAACACAATGTCCTACTCTCTAACGCCATTAGCATTAGATACAGGACTAAGAAATAAAATGCACTTTTCTTTGGCAGAAGCCAAAAATAATAATTTTTTAACAATGTAACATAATATAACAAATATAGAGTAGTTAAATACACAAAATCACCTACATAATTTCCCTAAACATCCAAGTATTTAAACACATAGTACTGTATATGTGCACCTAGCAGAACAAAGGTACAGTAAGTTGCTTGGTGTTTGTCTACAACCTGCTTTGCAAAACACCTGTCAAGAGTTCCCAAAATTCTCTTTAGGTTTTGCCTATATATTAGCTATACAGGGAATGGAGCATTGAAAACACAGTTACTGTGATACTGCTCCATCCCAGTATTAATTAAATTAGATATACATCATTCAATAGGATGGAGTCTTGCTTAAATGTGCTGCCCCTGGTATTCTAGTCTAGAAGACTTACTCAGTCTTCTAGTAAGTCTGAATACAGCACTCTCAATTAAGAAAAGCTACCTCTCCACTCAAAGCACATAATGGCTTCTTAGAAATCATTTCATTCATTTTTATTTGATGCATTATTACTGTAATTTGTTCCCTGTTAATTGTAATTTCTCTTGTATTCCTTTTAAGATTCCCTGACTGAGATGCAACAGGCACAAAACCACTTAAGGCTAAGGCAGCAGATTCTGATCTAAAGCTTTAGCCAAACCAGTTCTTTTCTAAAATCACCTCAGGCCCTATCATGCCAATACAAGTATGATGTCTGAAATTCTTCAAGAGGAATTTTCCCAGAGTTACTCCCTTGGACTTAATTAATAGACTCAAACAAGGTTTACATTCTTTTGGAAGTGCACATGTACAGTACAATGTGACCTTGCACTGTATTCTGCACTTCCCAATACAATGACGCCTTAAAATGAATCAGCCAGCTTGCTAAATGTGACTTGGACTTCAATGTGCAAACTGAGAGTCATGCTTTGTTAGTGGCGAAGTTTATATCCTGCATACCAACAGCAGAGCCCCCGGAGTGGGGTGGGGTGATCCCTTGCAAGGGTTATCGTTCTGGAATAATATAAATGTGTGAGCATGAGCTGGAAATGCCAGAAAACTGTGAGAAAGTAAATAGAGCTGAGTATTGTTCAAGCCAAATACAATGATTGCACTGCTCTTTCCACACTGACCTTTAAAGGAACACATACCATCATGTTTTTTTTTCCGATTTAGTTTGTGTGGACATCTTTCAAAATATTTAATAACACGTAATGCAGTATTAGAACCAAATGATGCACTGAATTTATGTAGGGGGTACTACTCAGAGTCTCTGAATTAAGGGTTACTTCCAAATTTCTGTTGGTATGCTCTTTTGGTCCGCACAAAACTATGGAAGATTTCTTTTTCTTTGAACCTCAATTACCTGAAAATAATTCAGCATGCATTGGGGTACAATTAACCAGTTTACAACACATACGCTTATGCAGTTTGCTTTGCCGGTTATTGCTGAGCCATTCTTTGCAGTTCGTGACCTAGAACCCAAAAAATCTTTTCACAATGCCTCAGTTTACAGTGGTATACCATACTGTAGATTTATAATGGTTACAAAATGAAGTTTTCTTACTTTTACTGCCACTCTTGTTCATATTATATAAAAGGAGCAATTTTCTGTAAGAATATTACATAGGGATACATTTAAAAAGCAGTCAGTAGGGTGAATGTTGAAAAAGCACATGAAGAAAATGCTAAATTTCCAGCAGCAGGAAGGCACAACACCAGCATAACCATAAATTGTAGCTCTACAAGAAAGGAATTTGTGTTCATGTTGGCCTACAATGTACACAAATTACAGATCTACCCTGTACAATCTTCGGAAGATACCAAGGATGAATAAGCAGTGTCCTAAGCAGATTAAGGGATTCTCAGAACAGCATGATTAAGCTCAAGCATATCATCAGCTCACTGTAGGCTACTGAAGTGAAAAGACAAGGCTGATGGCACATTGGGGATGATTTCTTTGTTCCAGGTCATAGGATTATCAAGTCGGTGCATGTGTACAAAACAAACATGTTTTCCAACAGCACAAGAACCAAATACCGTACATGTTGCCTTCCATGTAAAAAAAAAATCATTCAAGGTTGGGGAGATAAAAATGAAAGCTGAAATCTCTGTTACGCACGGTGGTTTCAGTGATTTTTTTTCAGTTTGAAAAAGGCTATTTCTTTAGGTGCCTTTAGGAGTTTCTGAATGTGGAGAATGCTGGTTGGAAAAGAACAGTGGATGCCCACTCAGTTTCTAAGGCTTTGCCAGATAAGACACCACAGCAGCTGCATTAATACACCCTATACTGCTTTCCATGCAATATTAGCCATAATCAGAGGAAACTATTTTATATTTAGCTCCTAGAAGCATGTGATGTCCCTCGGCCAAGAGAACAGTATTGTCAGTCCACACCACTTTCTCAGAACACTAACATTAAGAAGATTAAGAACTCCAGTATGATTAACTTCATGCTCCACACACAACACTACATTCACATTAAGAAGACAACTAAGAAATCCACTTAATATTAATGTAATAAACAGACCAGTGCCATGTCAG